CTGCAGCTTTTTCAGTTTCCAGTGTTCTGCAGTGTAGGTGAATTATTGTATTTCAACATAATAGGCCAAATTGATCTCCATGCAAACCCACTGAGAGCAGTTAGGAAATGATGATGAATTTAGCCCAAAGGCAACACCTGGAGTTAACATAAGTCAGTTTAATGACACTGAAAAGAAGAAAACAAAACAGTTGGTTAGTTAATTTTACAAGCCTGTTTGCATTCTAAATAGACAGCTTTGGAGTGGAGAGAGCTGTGACAGAAAGCTGTTAATGGCACTCATTTTATAAACCATGAGGAAATGAGGTCAGAAGGTTCAGTTTCTTTTACTTTAGGCTTTGTCTACACTGGCAAGTGAAAGACAAAACTTTTGTCATTCAGCGTTAAAAAAGTTTTGCTGAAGACAAGCCCCTGGTGTGAACAGCACAGTGTCACGCTCCTGCTGACAAGCTACCACCACCGCTCATTGGGGGTGGAGGTTTTTTGTCAGCCGACAAACAGTGGTTACACTGCACGTGTTTTAGTGGCACAGCTGTGGTGGCACAGCCGTGTTGCTAAAAGCTGTGTAGCATAGCCAGTAGAATCCTCTTATTCCAGCCCATGAAGGCTTGTCACACATACCCCAAGTTTGCCTTTCCTTTGTTTTAGAAAACAATCCCAAGTATTTTAATTATTACTTTTAACAATTATGTAAAGCTAGAAAAAAATCCACAAGCTGATAATATTCCTGAGTCCCATCTTGTCCATCTCTACTCTCTCTATTTCTTTTACCACTACCCTGAGACAACACAGTCTCCTAGGATTGTTTGACTTAAATTTTAGCACAAAACTTTACTGAGGTCAGAAGAGGGTCATGGGACGTGCAGTCTATATGGTTTTATAAAAACATGATAATAAGTGAATATAATGTAACTGGGATAGTTTTAGAAAAATATGGTAAAAAGTGAATATAATGTAACTGGGATATGCTTCATGTAAAAGGTCTTTGTAAGATATCATTACAAAGTTTATAATCTACTGAGTGTGATCATCCCA